GGAAGGTGGCCAGCCCTGCTCCGAGCAGGGGTCCTTCCCAGGCAGCGGCTCATGGGGTAGGGTGCATCTGCTCTATGCCAACCTGCCATCCTGGGGCAATGGTCACAGTCTCCACGGAACTTTCCTGCAGGCTCACCCTCCTCTCCTGAGCACGCCAGGAACTCTCTTCAACAAAGACTATGAAAATAATACCAGTTGTTGTGGGTCTCTGGGCCTCTTTTCTGGGGAGCCGCCCCACCCCAAAATGGGGGTGGAGGAGGGATGGGAGCCTGGGCCATCTCTTTCCCCTTCCAGGCCCTTCCTTTGCAGTCGGCTCACCACGGCGCTCAGCCACGATGCTGCCAAGTGCGTTCTGTGCCAGGGCAGAGGCTGCGCCTGGGTACTGGGGGAGGGAGCCAGGGACCCCAGGGTCGGTGGCTGCCAGGGGTCCGGGAACCCCTTGCCTGCCCACCAGAGAGCCTGGAACTCCCCAGAGAGAGGAAGGACTGGCCCTGCTGTGGGGGAGGAGGACTCCGGATCTGCTCCCCTCGGGCCCAAGGGCTGCACAATAGCCCCTGGGGCCGCCGCTCTCTGGCTTAAGTGGTTGCCCGGGCAACAGCTGGGGCCAGTTTCCACCAATCCATGGCAGAGGCGGGTTGGGGGAGGGAGACGGGGCAGGAAGGGGGGTGCTGTCCCCTTGTGCTGGATCCTATATAAGGAGGAAGGATGTGAGCCGAGTGGTCTGGGCGTCATTGTCCCCCCGTGGACCTGGAGGCAGAGCACAAAGATGCTTAGGTTAGGCCACTGCAAGCCAGGGTCCTGGGGCAGCTTCTGGGCCATCCTGACCTTGGTGGGCCTGGTCGCGCGAGCAGGTGAGTGGGCAGTGGGCTGGGGGGGGTGCGGGCCAGCATCTGCCAGCCCTCACTACACGCGGCTGGCCGGGAGGGGGCGGTGCTGCCTGCCGGGGAGAGCACAGGGTCCATTCGACAGCTCTCAGACATGGCTCTTTGAAGGGAGGGGAGAGGGGTCCGGCAGGCAGGCAGGAGTCTCAGGCAGAGACCCTGCACTGCCTATCATCCCAGGCGGAGGGCTAATGAGGACGCCACCCGCATTCAGGCCCTTCGAAGTGACAGCTTGTGGAGGCGGGACTGGGAAACACACCACCCGCTTCTCTCGCCCTTTCCTCCCTCGTTCCCTCTCCCTCACACGCAGATGCTCTGCTCTTGTGTGAGCCTTGTCTCCAGCGTCCATATGCACCACAGGCCTGCGTGTGCGCGCGCACATGCGGCCGGGGCCCATCTGCTGTTGCCACCCTCCCTGCTTCTCTCTGCGAGGTTCCTCTCCTGTTCTCAGCTTAGGGAAGTTGCTACTTGTAGTTTTTGCAACCGAGCGCATGTCCCCCTCTGACTGTCACTGCATTCCTGGGCATGAGAGAGGGGCCCGGCCTGGCCAGTCTCCACTCAATCAGCTGGAGGGCCCCCTCCAGCACTGGCTAGCCCCCTGTCCTTGCTCTGATCTCCCACAGCCACCCATGGAAAGCGGGCTTTTGTCTCACAGATCAGGACCTCAGAGGGCAGGGCTGGACCCTGAAAACAGCTTCCCGTTCACGCCTGAAGCCTGGACACATGCCCCGCCCCTCTCCTGCCACTGTTCTGGCCTCCCTAACCCGCTCTCTGCTCCCAGCTCTTCAAGCCTATCCCCTTCCAGGGCCTTTGCAGGGCTGGCCTCTCCACCTGGACACTCACTCCTTCCCTGGCTGGCTGGCTCCTTTAAAACTAGAGTGCTTGACCGGGTGCAGTGGCTCACGTCTGTAGTCCCAGCATTTTGAGAGACTGAGGAGGGAGAATCAGTAGCTTGAGCCCAGGAGTTTGGGACCAGCTTAGGAAATATAACAAGACCTCATCTCTATTCAAAAAATTAAAAAAAAAAAAAATTAGCCAGGCATGGTGGTGAGTGTCTGTAGTCTCAGCAACTTGGGAGGCTGAGGCAAAAGGATTGCCTGAGCCCAGGAGGTTGAGGCTGCAGTGAGCTGAGATCGTACTACTCACTGCACTCCAGCTTGAGGCACAGAGCAAGACTCTGTCTTAAACCAAAAACAAAGGCTGGGCTCGGAGGCTCAGCCTGTAATCCCAGCATTTTGGGAGGCTGAGGTGAGTGGATCGCCTGAGCCTCCGGGTTCGAGACCAGCCCGAGCAAATTGGCAAGACCTCATCTCTACAATAAATTTTTCAACAAATTAGCCGGGTGTGGTAGTGTGCACCTGTAGTCCCAGTGACTTGGGAGGCTGAGGCAGAAGGATGGCCTGAGCCCAGGAAGTTGAGGCTGCAGTGAGCTGAGATCGTACCACTGCACTCTGGTTTGAGGCACAGAGCAAGACTCTGGCTTAAACTAAAAAAAAGAAAAAAATTCTACAAACAATAACAACAAAAAACCTAGAGTGCTTAGTTGTGTACTTATTACCTGTCTAATATGCCGATTTGCATTTTTATGAATGTAAGAACTTGGCTTGTTCTGTCCACTGCCAAATTCCAAGCTTTCAGGACAATGTCTGGCATATAGTAGGTGCTCAATAGATATTTGTAAGTGAGCGTACCACTTCTGATGGGTCTGAGGGGCTAGGGGGACAGTTCTTCAGGAGGTTAGAGGAATCTGGAGGTTTGGCATCATGGAGACTGGCTCTGGGCATGTTGTCCCAGACCTGGTTCATGGCCTGTCCCTGCCCAGAATACACCCCCTGCCAGGAGGATCCTTTCAGGGTCTGCACTGCAAAACCTGTCCACCCAGGACATGCTTATGGATGCACACACGCATCCTCCCACCTCATGGGCACAAGCAGGTGTGCACACACAGCCTCCCTGAGCCCACCTTGCCCCCTGCCCACACCCATGCACACGTCTCCAGCTGGCCCTTCTGCACCCCTGGCCCGAGGCCCTGGGCCCGCTGCCTTCTCAGGTTGTGCTGTGCTCCTTCCCGCTGCAGCCCAGAGAGCCGATCTCAGTGGGGAGGCGACGGGCACCTCCATCAACCACTCCCAGGTGCTGCTGCATCGCCTGCAGGAGCTGCTGCGGCAGGGCAACGCCAGCGATGTGGTTCTGCGGGTGCAGGCGGCGGGCACCGACGAGGTCCGGGTCTTCCACGCCCACCGCCTGCTGCTGGGCCTGCACAGCGACCTGTTCCGGGAGCTGCTGAGTAACCAGAGCGAGGTGATGCTGCAGGAGCCCCGGGACTGCGCCGCTGTCTTCGACAAGTTCGTCAGGTGGGGAGGGGACGGCTGGGAGGGCGTCACCCCTTCCCAGCCCCTGGCTTTCCCACCCGCCCAGGCCCGCAGAGGTCTGATGCCCATTCCCTGGATGTCATTAGGATGACGTGCAGTGCCTCTTCCATCCTTCCTTCCACTGCCCTCTCGTGGAGAGTGGTGCGACTCCGTGCCTTTGCCTGTGTGCTCTGTGTCACTTCCCGCCCCAACAGCCCCCGCATAGTTGTTTCCAAACCTTGCCAGGAGAGCTTTTAAAAACTACAAGCTGGCTAGCTCGGTGGCTCAGCCTGCCATTCCAACACTTTGGGAGGCTGAGGCGAGTGGATGGCCTAAGCCCGTGTGTTTGAGACCAGCCCGGGGCAACTTGGCGAGACCTCATCTCTACAATCAATCAAAAATTAGCCGGGCATGGTAGCACGCGCCTGTAGTTCCGGCTCCTTGGAAGGCTGAGGCGGAAGGATCGCCGGAGCCCAGCAGGTTGACACTGGGGTGGCCGTGAGTGTGCCACTGCACTCCAGCCTGGGTGACGGAGTGAGACTCCAACTCAAAAAAATAAAAAAATAAGCCAGGCTCGGTGGCTCAGCCTGTAATCCTGCGCTTTGAGAGGCTGAGGTGAGTGAATTACCTGAGCCCGCGGGTTTGAGACCCGCCTGGGCAACTTGGCGAGACCTCATCTCTACAATAAATCAAAAAATTAGCCGGGCGTGGTAGCGCACGCCTGTAGTTCCAGCTACTCGGAAGGCTGAGGCAGAAGGACTGCCGGAGCCCAGCAGGTCGAGGCTGCGGGGGCCAGGAGCGTGCCACTGCACTCCAGTCTGGGCGACAGAGTGAGACCCCAACTCAAAATAAATAAATAAATAAATAACTAAATAAAATAAAATAAACACAAAAGAAACTACAGATTCCTGGACCCCATCCTAAGTCATTGGTTTCAAGGCTAGGGTTTGGACCAGCAATCATATCTCATTTATTTATTATTCTCCTAAACGTTCCATTGTAGAGGAACATTCTTTGTTTTGGTGTCTGGCAGCTTTGGAGTCACAAAGCCAGGGCGTCGAAAAAGCCAGCCAACTCTCTCCTCCCCTCCCCACTTCCTGCCGGGGGGCTGCACAGCGGAGGTGCCATTCAGTCTAAGAAAGGAACCTCGTCCTAATGGCTTAGACATGATGGCGGCAGAATTCCAGCCATCACTTCCGAGTTCCAGGCAAAGGATGGGGGACAAAACAGAAGCGTCCAAAGGGTCTTCCTCTTACCTGGAGTCAGTTGCCTTCCACCGGTCTGCCCCACGCCCCGTAGGGTGCCTCCACCGACATCTCACAGACTGGAAGTTGGTGGCGTGGCCCCACCCACCGTCAGGCAGCCTGTCGTCTTTCGTTCCCCGAGGCCAACACGCAAGGGAAAGCGGAGGCTGGCTACTGGGACAGGCAGCCGGCAGTGGCGGCCACACTCCTGTGAGCCATGAGGGAGCGTCGTGTGCCAGTGGGGACTGGCAGGAAGGGTGAGCAGGGGGCAGCGGCCGATGAGACAAGTGTCAGTCAGTGAGAGTGGTGACCGACAGTGAGGAGGAAGATGACGGGGTGAGCAAGGTGAGAGGGAAAAGGAAGGAAGGAAGGAAGGAAGAAAGAGAGAGACAGAAAGGAAGGAAGGAAAAGAGGAGAAGAGAGAAATAAATGGGCACAGGGAGAATGGGAATTAACGGCTGTTGACCGCCTGCCTGCACCGGGCTGGCACAATAACCCTGAGGGTTGGGCACTGCTCTCCCTGGGTGGCTCCACGCTAGATGCCTGGCCCAGCCTCCCAGCAAGCAGGCCGAGGACACCGACCCCAGCCGACTGCACGCCCTTAACGGCGGGGGCCCGTCTCTCTGCTCCAGCCTTGAGCTGCGC